TTTTTTTATTATCAGATAATAAAATTCAAATCCCGCGTCCAACTTCTTGAAAAATATTTCGTTTCATAGATTCATATAAGGCAGGTAGAAACAACCCAACCTACTCAAAAGAGTTTATGCCTTTAAGCTTAACTTGATTCCTGCTGGGAACATTAGGGAAAATCTTGGCCGCGCACATTAAGGCCGTAGCACATCCTAGAAACTTGTAAAAGTCGCAGCACACTTGAGCGAAAAGCAGATCAATAGACACTGCACTCCATACACTTCCATTTAATATCGAAAGGGCTCTTGAATATAAGGAATACGCTCTTGGAGCATTCAACAACATCTCTACGGATGCGGTTCTGAATGATATCCAGTCAATAATTCTTGATCCTGGTATACTACAAAGCTAGATCGGTAGGATTTTGACCTCTAGACGGGTAAGAGAAGCAAGGAACGACGCTAAAAGGATCAAGGAAGTCTGTTGARGTACTCCCTAAGGTGSAGTGCTATCTCCTAAAATAGKKGCATATGCAGACGACATTGCCATCTTAATAATGGGCAGGTGTCTACAGACCATTAGCAGTATTATGACMACCACTCTCAACACAGTTCAGAACTAGGCATTGCAAGCGGGTTTTGGGTTGTACCTAGAGAAAACGACTCTGCTTGTATTTACAAGAAACCACAAAATGACTATATAACGGATGGGCAAACACCGACCACATGATCCCACTTTTCAGCTGGGAAAGAAGGTTCAAAGTAAACAACCACAGCAATATGTTTCAAGCTGAGGTCTTTGCTATTGCGAAAGCCGCGGAGCTGGCCTCTAATGCACTTGCATGCAGTTCCAGAGTGAACATCTACGTAGACAGCTAAACAGCAATCAAGGCAGTAAGCTCGTATCGCTTATCGGCCAGAAGTGTCTTGTGAAGTAGGGCAGCAGTAAAAGCAAGCAACTTCACTTCTACTGGGTGCCAGGCCACAAATKCATCGAGAGCAATGAGATCTCAGAATTATCTGTACGACGATATAGACAGAAGTATGGTAAAGAAAATCAAACCCCAATTGAACGACTATCTGAGTGCAAAACTGCAAAAGTTATTTGAAAAACGGTAGATCGGAAGTACACAAAATTCCTATTGGCACTAGACAGAAGAGTCTGTAGAAACATATTGGAATACTAAGTTGTCACTATTTAGTGGACAGATCGATAAGACKGCAGGAAATGTGTAGAACAAGGCATTAGGGAAACTATTAAGCATCTCTCTTGACAAGACTACGCTGTAAGCATCTGTTGTGCCCACGACATGATACACTGGAAGAGGTATCGATCGTCAAGGATCGTCAAGCGCGGGTATTCTAAAAGATGACTAGTGCTATCTGGTATTGCATAGGATCAAAACTGATCTATGTATATATTCCCACCAGCACAGCGGGACAGTTGTTTCAGTCCTGATCTGGAAATGATGGAACATTCAAGAAGAAAGTATTGCAGCATTTTAGTTCATATTCTTTAAAAACGCTAATGCAACTGGTAACCGATATACTAATGTAGGTTAGGTTAGGTTATGAGGTCGATCTTAAAAGGGAACTACATGGACAGCTTAGAACGCCAGTTAGAACTACCACTGAGCAATCAGTTAAGAATTATAACCTAACATAGTATAACGAGTAATTATCGAGTCTCTCAAGATATTTCTTATCTCCAAAAAAGTTCTCAACTTTTTTTTTTCAAATATATTATATTTGTGTTGGGAAATATTAATTTATATATTAAATTTGTTCCCACAAAAGCAAACCTTCATTCCAAGTCACTTGTACTTTCCCAGCATAAGAACACATTATTTCTACCAAATTGTATTGACGAGCTCCAGCCAAACAATCCACTACTTACTACATTTCAATACACTCTCCGTCATAGTGAACGGCTTCCAACTCTATTAAACTCAACATAATAAACTGATTCGTTGTTTTATTTAGACAAAAGCCTAGTGAACTTGAAAGTCGAAGATGTCGGCTAATAAAGGCAACTCGATGAAACAATATTACACGAGCGAAAAGGTGGGAATTCATATGCGTAATGCACCTGTGCTCTAGAAACACAAAAACAAAAGCAAAAGCAAGTAACTARTAACATTATTAGAGCAGCAATCATCGTCGGTTCGTAAGCTTTGCTACAGTAGACATTGCCGTGGAATACTGAATTCTGCGCACTCGCTGTGGCATAGGCGCTTTTTCTAGGTCAATGTTAGACATGCTTTGTAATGGAAAGACAAAAGTAATACAACATAAATAATTACGGTTAAGAAAATTGCAGTAATCTATCATAAAGCGCACATTGAAGTCCGATAGCGATGATGGCGCTCTGTTATGAAAAAAACGCTGAGCAATAAAATGTTCACTATTTGTTCGGACTTTAAGGTCTTATAAATTAATTTTCATACTTATTTTTGAACTATGTTTAACTAAGAATACATTTTCARGCATTTTTTAAACAATTTGAGTTCAACTTAATATTATCCTAAATGTAGGCAACGTTTTAAATTCACTTAGATAATATTAGCTTTACAAGTATACATATATATTTCTTTTAAACGAACTTCTAAAATATGCTTTACTAATAGATAAACTTATCTAGCAGTTAAATATCTACCTTTTCTAAGAAGAGCACCCTAAATGTAGGCAACGTTATAGTATAAATTTAACGATAGCAATGGATTTTGCCTACTTCTACGATTCTTTTAGTCATATGTTTCTTTTGCAATGGTCGCAAAAATCGGACTACAACTTTTGAAGATTTCTTGTGGCTAACATACATACATATRTTTATATTTMTTTTCGTYAACATTTAAATARCATTTRAATAAAAAAWKTTTATTTTTCACAGAAAAACGCAACTTCTTGTACAAAGCCATCATGGCGGGCGGCATCAATCGCGACGATCCCGACAATCCCATCGACAACAAAGATCACATGTTTATGGCATTTTTCAAGGATCATCTGGCCGCTGTGATTAACAATAAATGGTGCAAAATGCTAATYATACTGATATTTGCAACCTATCTAGCTGGCGCTTGTTATGGACTCACACAGATTAAAGAGGGTTTGGAGCGTCGTAAACTATCAAAGGCTGATTCCTACTCTGTGGAGTTTTTCGATCGTGAGGATGAGTATTATCGCGAGTTTCCATATCGCATGCAGGTATATACAAATTTCTATCGTAAAAACCTTTCACAACCACTAATACACTAACTTATATGCTAAACAGGTGATCATCACTGGCGATCTGAACTATTCCGATCCCATTGTGCTAGATCAAATCGAGGAGCTGACACGCACACTTGAGAACACATCGTATGTCACCTCATCGCTATATACCGAATCGTGGATACGTTCGTTCCGTTCGTTTGTCGATCGCAAYAATGACTATCTCAATTTGACCATCGATGATGAGCAATCGTTTATTGAYGCTGTCAAGGARCATTGGCTTTTCCCCGGCAATCCATTTTCGCTCGATGTCAAATTCAATGAAGATGAGACGCGCATTATCGCTTCACGTTTTCTCATACAAGCCGTAAATATCACCGATACGAATCACGAGAAGGAGATGGTGCGTGATTTGCGCAAGATTTGTAAAGATTCGCCGCTGAACGCCTCAATATTCCATCCGTATTTCGTGTTCTTCGATCAATTTGAGCTTGTGCGTCCGACTTCGATACAGTCAATGATCGTTGGTGCGCTCATAATGATGATCATATCATTCATCTTTATACCGAACATACTATGCTCGCTGTGGGTGGCCTTTTCGATCATTTCGATTGAGTTGGGCGTTGCTGGCTACATGGCTTTGTGGGATGTGAATCTCGATTCGATTTCTATGATCAATCTAATTATGTGCATTGGCTTYTCAGTAGACTTTACCGCACACATTTGTTACACTTACATGTCGTCGAAGAAGCGCAGCCCTAAGGCGCGCGTWCGCGAAGCRCTACACTCACTCGGCTTGCCAATCGTGCAAGGTTCCACCTCCACCATACTTGGYATTATAGCGCTATTGCTGGCGCAGAGCTACATCTTCCTAGTTTTCTTCAAAATGGTATTCCTCGTGATATTCTTCGGTGCAATGCATGGACTCTTCCTGCTGCCCGTGCTGTTGTCACTATTCGGACCCGGCTCTTGGCAAACTTGGTCTGGCACAGATGTGGGTGACGATAATGATGAAATTACCGACGTGGAAAGTCCCATGAAGCTCTCTACTATGGACAAATTGAGTTCATACTACTTGCAACAGCATACACCTTTAGGCCTACCCATGCCTTATAGCACCGGCAAAGGTTTTCTGGGTGCGCCCTATAAAGCTTACGGCGACGAAAAGGATTTGGGTATCGGCACATCTGGTGAGGACTCCTCTGAGTCCAGCTCCAGTCGTTCACAACGCCGTCAAGCGSTCGAAGACGAACACACACGCCGCCGTTATGAAGAGGGCTGGCGTCGCTCATCCTACCACAATCTCTACACCAACTCGCAATCACAATTCCAGCCCAGCGCCGATCTCTACGGTCAACAAGTAACCGCACAAGAGTGGCGTGCGCGTCTCGAAGACGAGCAAGAGCAGCGCAAACGTAGCGTGATCGGTTTGCGCGCCTACGACAACTTCGCGGCCGACTTTATGCACATGCAACGCCGTCACCCCACACACGGTGAAGATGTGATCGACACTCCTGCCGCCGCACAYTACACGCCCACATCATCGCTAGACGAACGTTCGCGACGCAAGTATCGGCCCGCCATAAATGCCGCGACAGCAGTCACAAATACGCCACAGAGCGCTGGTAGCGGCGACGACAGTAGCTATCATCAGCGCATGAGCGCGCCAACAGCCACAACGACTCCAGCCGTGAAACGTTACCATCGTCGACGCTCGTCGGAGGATTCAACACGTCATTATCAACGTTGGCCGCCATCCAACATTGAAGAGCGTTACGCACGTCGTTATGCCAACAACAATACACGCGACGATAGCGCGGCTTATGCGCCCGGGCATGCTAACTCCTCCTCATCAGCCGCCGCCGCCGTCAATGCTTACCGCCCACACCCGCCAATGCGCTCCTCATCGCATCACAATTTGTACTATCCCAACAATGTGCAGCATCCACCAACATACCAATATGGCGGCGCTTACTACAAATGATCGTASTGATGGAGAGAGAGTGAAAAAGGGAAAAGAGCGCGCGCATAAGAGTAGCGCTTTTGTAAACGCAATAAATGTAGCGAGGACACAAACCTCTTTTGCACTTCATTGAACTATGCACCGTGCCAGTAACGAACTGGACATTTTATGTATGAAAAAAGCTCATTGTGGTTTTTTATAAATCTAGTGTTGTGTTGGTTTATTTTTTATACTATTTTT